TGATTAAATGCCCTCCTCACAGAGCTGTACATACACATAAACACATTATGTTTTTACATCGCCTTCCACCTCTGTTCCAGTGCTTCAATTTCTGGACCTGGCAGACACCTGAAGGTTCAAAAGTGTCTTCTGACTCCCTGAATGGTATCTTAGAAGAACCACATTCACCAAACAATTAAAAAAATCAATGTCACTCACTCCTCACTTTCTGAACAGACAAGGATATTAGACCCAAGGCGCCGTGGCCCTGATTATGCCCAATTAGGGTGTCTCTGTTGGTTCTCTGTTGGAGAAAAGAAGATTTCCCCATGGTTGAGGAGGATTGGGTTAGAGACCACGGAGTCAAACTTGACATCTAGAAGTCTGTGGGCCCTGATGAGATGAGATGCACCCACAGGTGTTGAGGGAACTGGTGGGCATCACTGTTAGACCACTCTCAATCACCTTAGAAAGGTCATGGCAGTCAGGAGAGGTACCTGAGGATGGAAGAAAGCAAATGTTATCTCCCCCTTCAAAAGGGGGCAAGAAGGGGGACCCAGGCAGCCACAGGTCCATCAGCCTGTGGGGTGTTGACCGAGGATGTCAGGTGCCCACCAAAGTCATTCTGTCACTCCCCTCCATGACTGGACTGGGGAGAGAAAAACAAAAGTCTCATAAGTTGAGCTAAGGACAGGGAGAGATCACAAACCAATTACCATCATGGGTAACAGTCAAAACAGATTCAGCTCAGGGAAACTAATTGAATTTATTACCAGTCAAAATCAGAACAGGATAATGAGAAGTAAAACACCATCCTCCTACCCCTGCCTCCTTCCTGAGCTCTACCTCTTCCCCCACAAGTGGCACAGGGAGACAGGGAATGCTGCTGCTCAAGGAGTCCTTCCTCTGCTCCAGCATATTCTGCATTCTGCAATCTTGTTGGATGAAGTTGGAGGGGCTCTGGGGCATATCAGTAAATCTTTCATAAGACAGAAGGTTGAACTTTTATCTAAGGGAAAGAATATGTTTCTCAAAGATGTGTTTTATGAGTAAATTTGGAACAAACGAGTAGAAAATACAGTTAAATGAAATTTGTAAAACATAAAGTGATTTCTACATTCAGGTTTTGTTATTTTGCATTAATTTTCATTTTAATTACATAGGATTTAAATTGGCATTTTTCTAGCCACTAGGTTATTCCAGGAAATTGTTATGCATTAGGGACACCACATTAGGGACAAGGATGAATATATCTGTATCTTTCTTACCCAGGGCATCCTCAAGAAAACAAAAGCAAATGTAACATGAATGTTGAAAGTAGCAAGCGTTCTTCAGCCTTACAATGCTGTATCTCTTTAACATCTCCTTTATTCCTATGCCATCAAGTAGTTTTGGTCTGCTGTCTATAGAATTGCTGTTTACACTATTTATTAATATGTTCATCACATTGTCTTGCCCTATTTCATGAGTAATTAAATGTTCTTATTTTGGCCAAAAGATACCAATAAAATAAAAACCTTAATTGGCTTCCTCTCAGCTACTCATGGCATGATCAGATAGCCCTGTCTCCAGCTGTTAATTGCACTAAACATTGAGGTACAGGTTCACCCAACATAATTATGAAAAATTATGCATATTCTTTGAAAAATACTGATGAAATCAGAGACTGTGGGATAGAAATTTTTCTATACATGTATTAACATATTAAAACAGGATTGAGGAGTGAGAGTGATTTAGGTTTTGTGTTTGGAATGATTTTGTGCAGAAGAATTGTCCATTAAATATTTAAGAAAAGCAACAATTCTTTCTTCAGTGTTGAGCATAGTACACTTATTCTTTCCTTCCTGGAAGGTGCACTACAGTACATGATTGGGTTTTTTCCTAATTCATTGCACTTTCAGTGCTTTGGCACCAGTAATACAGTTAAGGTAAAATGAAGCTTTAGTCTAGTGAATGCTTATGTGGGGCTTTTTAATCATAATTGTCATGCTAAAATAAATGTTTTCAGTGCTCTTGCACCAGAAAAAAATAACCTCTCTTAATGCATCCAGCAGTCTAGGAGTTGGGAATAAATTACGACTACTCCTTTTTTTACTCAGGTTGGTTTCTCCCTTTTGTTTTTGGCTTGATTTTTCTATCACTCTCTGGGTTTTGCTTCTGTGTTTGTTTATTCTTTTTTTCCTCCTCTTTTAAAACTGATTTTTCATAACCCTGTGATCTTTTGCTTCCACAAGCATTTTCTGTTATTCTCCTTATCTGTTCATCTGATTCCTTTTGGGCAGATTATCCTATCTATCTTCTGCTATTTTCTCCAGTACTTCCTCATAAGTGATCCATTGACAGCTCAGACTCAAAATATATGTATTTTTTCTCCTCAGCATTTCCATCCTACTTGCCATCCAAGCTCATATAGCAGTGCTTAGCCAATCTTCCTCCACATTTTTTTTGAAAGCCTGTCGCTTTCTCTCTATACAGACAAATGTCACTTTTCATAAGCTTTTTCACTTTTTACCACTTCTTGCACATCCTCCCTGCATCCATATTGCCAGTCCATCCAAAACACAGCTGGTAAGATGGCTGTTCTCAGTGGTCAAACCACAGCTACATCTTTTAAGCTCGTTTTTAGTGTCAAGGTTTTCCACAATATTCTGCCCAGATCAAGTGTTTCCTGATCCCAGACCTTTTGCTCTATCAGTATATTAAAGCTGCATTTTCTCAATAATTCCATTACCTCCCCTGTACCTGTCATGACTTCACTATGCTGTAAATTATTGGTCCTTTTGGTTCTTTACCTACATATACTCTTTTTTTCCACAGTATATGAAATTTCATAGCCATTCAGATAGGGAAAAAATAAAAATAAATCACTGTTTTAGGTCATGTCCCAGTTACTTGTACTCTTTCACATCTTTTTGCTATCTTTGAGGCAAGGTTTAATTTTTTTTTATCTTATATAGCACACTGGTCTATTTTTAGCCTTAAGAGAATTTATCAATCATCCTAAGGACTATTGCATGATTGAAAATGGATTTAAGTAAAAAAAAACTGGCTGATGTTTTGTTTTCATAAGCCTTGATGTGTAAAAGATATACATAGATGACAAAGACTGGACTACATTTTATTTGGTCTCTATATCCTTTAAAAGTGGTATCCGCTTTAGAGAAGAATTCTGCTGACTGGGGTATCTTTGTTCAAGTCACATTTTCAATTAGCTAAGTAATTAATTTACTACTACATCCCTTTGGATGTTTCTCGATTACTCAGACTAATAGATCATATTTTTAAAACTATGGTAAGGATGTAAAATTCTCTTTAGAAGTGCTAAGGATTGTCACTACTATATAATTGACAAGTACAACTCCCTGAATATATTAATTTCCTGCTTTTAAAGGTGCCTTTAGCCATTCTCCTTTTTAGGTAAATCAGTCGGCTTATCACTTGGAGTATTTCATGAGCCTGTGGTATTTTGAAAACTTTTTTTTAATTCAAGGTCTCCTGAGAAGGAATATTTTCTGCATTGCAGGGATCCAGTGAGGGGGAATAAAATGCAGGACATCCAGATTAGCTTTGAAGCATACTGAAAAAAAAGCTCCTCTTTGATTTGCCACAGATTCATAAGAAAATATAAAATAAATTCAGATTAAGTGCAGAGCATGCTTTTCCAGACTGACATTAACTTAATGCTATTTTAGAAAACTTCATTGTTACCAATTTGCCTGTGGGTACAATGTCCACAACCTGTTAAAACATGAACTTTAGCTGAGAGAACACTGGAGGAGCATAGTGGAAACCTGTTTGCCATGCATGTTTATCCTTACTCCAAGAAAGATCTCAAGAGCTACATTTCCAAAAGTATTATATGATTAGCCATGCCAGAAAGGAATAAAGTAGCTGAGTGACTCCCATTTCAGTGCAGTATAAGAAAGCATCCTCTAAGGAGTCCTCTGCCCTTTAGCTTCTCAGGTGGCACCATGAGAGTGCTTTGCCTCACATGAAACCTCATAATTTACACCTTAGTAGCTCATAGGTTGCATCCAGACTTCTGCTAGAGTTGAGGACTCAAATGAGAGTATCTGGCCTCAAACAGAGTGGTTATTATATTACTTGGGATGAAGATTTCCATTTTCAGCTTGTTGTAATCCATATTCTACAGCATTGTGAGTTCACTTCAGGGACAAATAACTGCAATCAAGAATTAAGTGTTATTGCTATTAACTGTTATTATTGTTTGCAATGTTTGGCTATCCCATTTCTTTTAGTGGTAGGATATGTAGGGATATTTGATCATTGCTTAGTATAGTGAAAAATTATTGAGAAATAAATCAAGACACACATTAGCAGAAGAAGATGAGGGTTTTTTAGTGAGTAGGAGCCAGCAAATAGTAAATACAAATCTCACAGATATATAGGTTGTTAAATAGTTGGTTTGGCTTTGTTTTAACAGTTAGCGTAATTTATTATTATTTTATTCTTAATTTGAAAAGAACTTATGGAAATAATGTTTCACTGATGTCTTGAGATGCTTGCAGTCCAGGCAGACAATATGGAGATTGAGTAAAAATATTCATTGAAGTTAGAGAAAAGTTTCCCATTAATTGCACTATGCTTTGTATTTGGCCCAAAGAAGTGCTCCATTAAAGAAAAGATCTTTTTTAATGTGTCCATTTGGCCTTGAAAATATGCAGATGAGCAGTTAAGGCATCCTGGGATGGTCCCTGCCCATGAATGTTTTCAGGACTGAGGTTTTAGAGTAGAGGTGGCAATACCTATCATGACTTTCATATAGGAAAAATTTTCTTGCGTCAGTTTGCAGCTAATGGAACAAGATCATTTTTCTTGTGTACTGCATAGGTATCCTTATCACCATGTTGAACATGAGAAAGATTGAAGGATAAGAAGAATCTGAGAATGTTTATTCCAATTACTTTTACAATAAGAATCAAAGAATGCTAAGGGTGCACATGCTGCCTGTTCTCTCAGCTTGAATATCTCATGGCTTCTGTTGTATTTCTTTCTTTCAGGCCTTTCTCTGAGCTCTGCCTGCCGCACAGCCATACGCATTAGATGACTTGGGGACTCGTTTTCCATCAGCGATGAAGGGATTATCTGGCAGCCGCAGTCACCATCACGGGGTTGCCTGTGACCCTGCATGTGACAGCCTGCCACACCACCAGGACAGGAAGCCATATTTGTTAAACCCGGTGGACCCCCACCCCGCAGACCACCCTTACTACACTCAAAGGAACTCTTTCCAGGCCGAGTGCATGGTGCCCTACAACGATCAGATTGCCAGCAGCACGTTTCCCCGGAGGCATTACAGCTCCCACCACGAACTCAAGGACGAGTGTGCTCTGGTTCCCCATGGAACTGCCAACAAGACCAACCGCATTCCTGCCAACCTCTTGGACCAGTTTGAGCGGCAGCTGCCCCTGAATCGGGATGGCTACCACACTCTGCAGTACAAGCGAACTGCCATGGAGCACCGCAGCGACAGCCCGGGCAGGATCCGGCACCTGGTTCATTCTGTCCAAAAACTCTTCACCAAGTCCCATTCGCTGGAAGGACCATCCAAGGGGAGCGTCAATGGGGGGAAAGCAAGCCCGGAGGAGTCACAGACGATGAGGTATGGGAAGCGCAGCAAGAGTAAAGAAAGGCGATCAGAAGGTAAGCCCAGATCCAATGCATCAGGATGGTGGAGTTCAGATGACAACTTGGACAATGATGTTTGCATTTATCATGGTCCCAGTGGGGTCATGACCATGGGAAGATGCCCTGACCGCTCTTCTTCCCAATACTTTATGGAAGCCTATAACACTATTAGTGAACATACTGTGAAGTCCTCCAGAAGCAATAATGATGTCAAATGCTCTACCTGTGCAAACCTGCCTGTGAATTTGGACTCCCAGTTAATGAAGAAAAGCTCTTGGTCCTCTACATTAACCGTGAGCAGAGCCCGTGAAGTTTACCAGAAAGCATCAGTTAACATGGACCAGACAGTGGTGAAGGCAGAGACGTGTCAGCAGGAACGGTCATGTCAGTACCTCCAGGTACAGTGTGGAGAACTGGTTGCTGTTAACTGTGCTCTGCCTTGTCTCAGGTGTTTGTGGGGGATGGAGGTTTGCTCTGATGTCTCAACTTTCCTCAGAGGTCACTGATCACCAAACAAAGGGTGCTGCTGCTAAAATTAAAATTATATCGGCTCTTTTTTTTTTTTTTTGGCCCAGAATTCAGTATTTCAAAGTAAGAGTTCATGTTAGAACAGGATTATTTTTTTTATTCATGAGGGGAAAATAGGACCTTTCTGTGTACCTTTTGAATTTATAAGGCTGTCACAGTAGGGGTATGGGGAATTTGATGTTTTAGTGCTTTCATTTAGCATTACAATGTCAATTAACTGAATGTTACCAGGATACAAATTCTTTGATTTCTATAATTTCAATTTCGCTTTCATTTAGTGCTCATTTTTTATGAAAGCTTTTAGGACCCTTTTGAGAAACTATGGGGTACCTTAATACTTTCTCCAGCAGGAAAACAACCTACTTTTCTGTTTGCCATAGAATATAAATTCTCTTAAAACAGTTATTGTAATGTGTCCAGATTTGTTTATCAGGCTATTCCTCTTTTTTTATGGCTCTGAGTCAAAAATAAAAAATCAAAAGGGTGAAATTATTGCTTGTTCTGATTATACATTTTAGGAGTACATCACCTACTCCCTCACAAGCTGTTTGCAGTTAATACAGCGTCACTATTTTTCACCAGTATTGTATCTTTAAATGTCAAGAATCAGATGTCTCCTCTTGGAGCTATCATACTGCCAGTGAATGTTTGTGGCAGGAACATGGATCAGAAAATATGAAAACTGTTTCATCCTTAGGAGAGCTTTGGATAGCTTTTATGCACTTTAAAAGAAGCACTTATGGCACATCTAAGTGTGTGTGTAAGATGGAACAACGTTGCACAGAGAAGAGAGAAGACCATGAGGAAAAAAGAGGTTTGCTAAGACGATTCGGTTTCATTTTAATGTAGTGGGACTCTTTTCTATTTGTATAGAACTGTAGCAGGTTCTCTCATATGGGTGCTTTAATGAGACAGCTTCCACATTCTGTTGTTTAAGTCAGTATGCAGAGAAAGCGTAGGACTGAGGCATCAGCTTTTAAAAATTTATCTTAAAAGGTTTTATGGAGTGTCATGCAAAATAATTTTGAATGCCAGCCTCTGGGATTCTAAGTCTTAAATGTAAAGGAATGGATATGTATATTTTCTATCAACTGTTTAGGAGAGTGGGGTGGGGGAAGAGGGGGCAATACAAATGCTCACTGTGTTTACAGCTCTGTGTATGGGCTGGGGAGGGAGAGGGGTTTCAAAATAGCCTCAGGTTGCAACCTTTTGAGATATTGTGGGTTTTTTATTAAGTATCTTTTGTGTGAATTTTGTGAGTAAGAAGAAATCGTAACTTTAGGCTTGGTTGTTGTGGTTACTTTGAACCCTGAGATTTCTTTTGTTGGTATTTTTGTTTACTCCTTCAGCCGTCTCTTGGGTTTAGATAAAATAGCTGACAATTCAGTATGTGACCAGATGGCTAGAAAAGAGTGAAAAACTGTGCCAGCATCAGCTTTAAACGAACACCTCCATAGGGACCTTTAGATAATGTTTAACTGACAGGAATAGACTCCTCAAGTGGAATTAGAGGACATTATCTGTGTCTGTATGAAAATATGTCCAACAATTGTCAAGGGCAAGAATAACTAAATTCTTACTTCTTACTACATTCTCACTGTGTTTCCTATTCTCACTGTTAGTTCTATGTCAGTTTTCATTTAATTTTGTTTCATTCTTTCTGATTGCATGCCATTGTAAAACCAAAGGAAATATAATTGGTTTAAAACTGGTTGTTTTTTTGTTAAGGAGAATCTTAACCAGGCATCAGTTAACATTGAAAGTAATATTCAAACAGAGTACAGTAGATTTGAGGAAGCAGGTCAGGATTATTCTTCTCTCTTGGCAGCTTGAAGGGATGACAAATGCATATACGGATTTTAAAAGTCAGTCTATTTTGAATACATCCCATTGCTTTTCTCTTCACTATATCACTTATCTTTTTACACTGCAAGCCCTTTGGGGCTTGGACTTTGTTCCTTTTTGTGTTTCCACAGTGACCAGCACAATGGGGCACAGAACCTAACTGAGACCTTTTGTCTGTCCTGCAATATAAATATATATTAACAACAGCAGAGTGCTACTCTGTTAGTGAGTTGTAGAGTTACTCTGTGTATCTGTTATTTCCCAGGTGCCCTTCTCATTATTGTACCAAAAGGCTGGTGTTCTGTGTTAGAACAATTGAAAAGGCACAAAATGAGATGAAAGCTGCAAATTCACAACACTGGATAACCCTGATAATTTAATTTCATTTTTATGATGCTTCTTTGTTGCTTTCTTTAACTCACTAAATGTTAAATAGATGCTTTTATCAATTCGTTTGTTATTTAAGTTGTTGTCTATGGTCCAGGACAAACTCTCAGGACATAAACTCAGATCATTCCAAGAGCAGCTACTTATTCATGCAATCTCTTCTTGTCACAGTATCTGAATTCAATGAAGGAGTGACTTTTTTCAATTCGGGGTGCTCAGATCTATCAGGATAAAGAAAATTATCCTAGATCTAAGTATATCAAAGATCACAGGTGACATTGACTTCATGTTTGTTTGTAAGGGCTTTTATCACAAAAATATCTGCATGAATTCTCAGTGTAAAGTATGGAAATAACAAACGATTTTTTCACTTGCTGTGATATTTTCCACTTAACTGTTCTGTGGAAGGAGTTGGCAGTAGTTTGTATTACAGATGGGCTTATTTCTCATAATTTGGAATTTGTATCAGCTGCAGAGTCCTCCTGCATTGCACTGTCTTTCTTTACCCAGCCAGGCTCCACTTCCAGCCCTGGTGCTGAGGCACCTTGAAGTTCTAGGGGAAACTTGGGTCTGTGCATCCTCAGAAACAGATATTTTCCTAGAATAGTCTAAAGACTGTCAAGCAAATCTTTTCCTCTTACCTGCATTTTGGGCATGGGATTGCATTTTTATCTTCTATTTCTCCTTTCAAGAGTGAGCAGCTGGATAGTAGAAAGATAAGGTTCTTTTTTTGAGCTGATTTTTATTTCAGAGAAGTGCTACTATTTGATCCAGCTTTACAGTTGGACTACAGTGGAGGAAGGTGAGAAGGAATTGTTCATGTTTTATCAAAATGCTTCTTCAAAATGGTTTCCCACCCTTGAAAGAAAAAAAATTAAAGCAGTGGACAGCCTCTACTTCTCTGCTAGCTTCTCCTCTGGAAAAAAATGAAATTAAGCAAAATTATTAAAGATAAAATGTAAGCAGCAGTCCTTTGCTGCAAACAATAGGGTCTAAATACACTCTTGTTTTCAATAAATTCATGGCTTTTTGGAGCTAACAGTGTATTAAATACACTGCAGAGTTAGTCTCTGATTACAATTTTGCCATTTAATGTTCCCTGTAGTTACCATTCCTGTTGTCCTTGGCCCATTTGTTAAGAGACTGAGAAAAGTACAAAGAATTACGTTTTTCAAATTAATTTTCTTTTCTTATGTGGTTCAGTCATAAGTTTTCATTGCAATTGATGAGACTCATATCAGTTGTGTCAGACACTTGAGGCTAAGGATGAAAATTTTACTTCTGAAAACTGAAGTGCAGAAGATGGGACAACAGTGCAGTCATTCAAGTTCCACATCGCTTCGCTTGTCCTTTGGTGAGATACCATGAGAAATACTATTAAAAAATATAAATCAAGTTTCTGAGAGTAATAAGAATTTCCCAGTGACAAAGGGTTCTGGTTAGTACTGTGTTCAGTCTCCTGGGTGAAGCTGGCCTAGTGTGCATTGATATGTAATGTGTAGTGCTAAGAAACTCGTTATCCAAATGCCTTGTTTTCCAGTCTCAGGACAAGGCACAGTTTCTTAGGAAAGACAGCTGAATTCCAGTCCCAGCTCTTTTTGTTGCCTATGTCCATGGATGACCAAATAGACCTAAGGGTCAGGGTGCTAATGAGGACCAGTAAGTATAAGTGACTTGTTAACATGGTACCTTTACCTTAAAAAGTGTTTATCCTTATGAAACAGAAATTTATGTTAGATCTGTTGTACTAAGTTTATCTATGCAAGTTTTTTCTGGGTTTTGAGTTTGTTTTTTCCTTATTTATGGTGTTTGCATTTCAGATGCAGCTACTATATTCAAATTAATCTTCCAGGATATCCTTATTTATATATATATATATATATGAAAGTTGTATGAGCATCCATTAATGTAGATGTTCCTTTTTTCATGTATCTGATGACTTGCCCTTTTTTAGCTCATATTCCATTATAAATTGAAAATTAATGAAGCTCACGTTATTTCTCTTTCAATTTTCCAGTCAAAACTACAAGTATATGAGGTATAAGTTTCAAGTCTTTTTGATGAGCACATGTGAAAGATAATTCCTAGTAAAGCTAGTGAAACAATTTGGACAAATGTGAAATCAGGTGTCAAATGTTTTAATGTCTTCTAGGTCAACTTCCAGGTAATTCAATACTCATGAAAACATTTGGAATTCTTAAATGCTCTTGAATTTTAAAATGAACTAATATCTAAGCATATTAATACTAAAAAGAATATTCTCAGAAAGCTAATTTATTTTGGTTTTAAAATTGTGAGATGGGTAATATGAATAATGGCTATAGCTAGGGAATTTGTGGGAAACATAGATTAGGCACAAAACAGATAATTTACAGATAATTATTAACAGCTTATTATATCAGATAATATCATTAAACTGGCATCTTGTTTATTTAGCCTACCTGCAAAACCACCCAAGATGTGACAGAAATATACAGGAGAGTATTTCAATATACATGTCTTCCTCATCTTTGCAGTCCTTTAATTTAACTAAAAAAAAAAAAAAAAAAACAAAAAAACCACACAAAATTGCCAACTGTGTTGGTGATGATCTTGCCACTCATTTCACCTTAACAACTGGTACATTCTTATTTGCTTA